GAGGAGGCACTTCTTGGAATTGAGGCCTGATTCGGCTTGCGTCAGTGGGTCCTTTCTTCGCTGGAGCCCACGACACGACAAGTGTTGGAATCGTCGAGACCCACTTCTCATCCCCAGTGATCGTGTCTTCTAGAAACTCCTTCCGTTGGGAGCAAAGAGGGGAGATTGAAAATGGTACCCTGGCGAACCTAACTCTTTTGGTCAGCCCATAAGGGGTCTATCAAGTTAACACTTTTGTGTAGTCGAAAGTCCGGAGATGAGTGAGAACTGTTGAGCGGCTACATGAGAGCCTCGTCGTGAGAGCGCGGGTGCTGACCGCGAGACCCTCTTTGACAGCGCTGAGAATGGTAACCGTCGCTTCAGTGGCGCGCCGCCATCCATATAAGAGACAGCTCGAAGGTGCTTTTGTGGAATTGCCATCGTAATTGAGGTTAGAGAGAGCAATCCGGCTATATATACCTGTTGCAGAGGCGTTTCAAGATTGATCCAAGAGTGCACCATAGCAGACGGGTATTGATCAAGAATCAATAAATGCGAGATTTTCAGAAAATATCGGATCGAGACTTCCTTACCAACCTAGTAGATTCCACATTGGCCAACAAAAGCTGATCAATGGCACAGGTACAAGTCAGTGTTTTATTCCCACATCCGCTCCTTTTCAGAGAGAGCCGGTCCTAATCAACCACAATCGAAAATTTNTTCAAGATTGATCCAAGAGTGCACCATAGCAGACGGGTATTGATCAAGAATCAATAAATGCGAGATTTCCAGAAAATATCGGATCGAGACTTCCTTACCAACCTAGTAGATTCCACATTGGCCAACAAAAGCTGATCAATGGCACAGGTACAAGTCAGTGTTTTATTCCCACATCCGCTCCTTTTCAGAGAGAGCCGGTCCTAATCAACCACAATCGAAAATTTTGCGATGTGTACGGATACAGGATACGATCCTTGGACCGTATGTTGGTCTTGCCCCCGTTTGATTTGATGATATTCCACTCCCCGATCCTTGCTTAATATATGGTAATATTCAATATATTGAAATTATTGTTGGTGCTGGTGAAGGAATTGCTGGTTAATTGAAGGAGGGCCCACTGCAGTTGTTGCAGATTGGTCTCTAGATTTTATCATTGTTTTTGTTCAACCCATCTCCTTTCAAACACTTTCTGGTGCCTGTACGAAACAAAGATCGCGAACTGTCAGCAATCGCTTTTTCCTATGGGCTACCATTAAAGGATGAAGGATGAAGTCTTTGGGCATCTGAATCTCGTCTGAAGAAACACGCCCACGCATTCGACTTCATTTCAGAAAAAAGGGCAACCAGTAAAAGTAAGAAAACCTATTGAGGTGAAAATCTGTCACATAATCTTTAAGGCCTGTCATAGTTCAATCTGAGAACGAAAGTAACCCTTTTTTGCCATCCTACTCGATATTCGACCCATGACGCTGTGCCGGTCCGAGCATTCCGTCTCTGAGCCCTTTTTAGTTACCGGTATGTTGGCGTAAACTTTGCACTGCATCTAGAAATCGAATAGAAATCCAACCTCTCACACGGCACGTGGTGAATTATGACGCCCATAGGGTGGAAAAGCCATCAAGTGCTTGCTTCTCACATCGTATTAGGTGGCTATATGGGCTGTTGAGTGAGTGTCGTGAACGTGCAAATGTACGAATGTATAAAGTTACCTTTGAATTCTGATCGCAAACGTGTCCCGTTGCCCACAAAGTTCAAGGTTTTCAACGGTTTTTTTTTGTCTCGCACTGCTCGCAACATTTTGTTTTCAACGTCCAAACACCCGCGTTCGAGGGATGCAAGTGTTGCGAAGGGTGCAAGTGCACTTTTGCGGATAAACATCACTTTATGGGTGGTCCTTACGATGGATCGATGGTGTAAGTCGCAGACGTTTTACCGTACCCATACTGGCCAATTCTTCATAAAATCGATCGATAAGAGCTAAAATCTGACCTACGGGTGGTCCCTAGGCTTTCGGCAGCAGGAACTGTCAACTTTAATAAGATATTTTAATTAAGTAAATCTTCGCCTTTATCAGTAACTAGTTCTACTGCTTAGAAGAATAGGATCTGTCACAAAGCCAGAGAGGTGAAAATATTTTCGGCGATAGTCTGTAAGATGGGTAATCGGATCTGGAAGATCGTAATCCGTACGAAATTCCCGAAAAGCCATGGGGATTTCAAAGATTGCATACTTTTGTCGAAGTAAGAAGTCTTTTCCTCACCCTTGAAGATTCCCCCTAGACTCTTAAGACCATGGTAGGATTTGTGAGCCTAAATNGTTTCTCAATTCTACCCACAGAACAAAGTTTTGCTTTTCTCCCATGTCATTTGCCAAGCACCTACTACTTCGCTCCCTCAGACTAGGAGATAGCATTTCTGAAGAAAAAAAGCCCTGCATCAAAGTTCAAATACGTGCTATTTCTCATATAGATAGCAACCCCGCCAAAATGCTGTCGAACTCTGCCAGAGAGCAAATGCATGGCGCATTATATTATGATTGATTGGCTATGAGAACGTTGCTTCTGTGCAGTATTTCTAAATGCAAAAATTGTTCAGTGGTATTTGGTCTCCATTCCTCTCTATCCCTGTCGACTCTCTGCCCTGCTCTTTGTTTCTTCTACCTTCTTCGCGTCCGTTGGGTGCAATCAAAACAGCCGGCGTTTTCTTCGCTGGTGGTCTTTGGAGGCGGCGGTCATATCTTTTTCTAGTTTTTTCCTTAGTCTGTTCGCCTTCTACTCCACCATAACCGCAATGCCTTAGTAATTGTTCGTCTGCTTCTCTATCGTGAACCCGTTCCCTCGGCAATCCCTACGTCTCCGCTAACGATATGTTCAGTCGCTTCACTCTGATACATAAACCAGAAGCGAAAGCGACATGTTGTGTGAATGTCGTTCATCAGAATTGCTGCAGAGGAATTGGTTTTTGGTTTATATTCAGGGAGGTTAGGGAGAGAAATCGGAATGAGGAAGTGCATGACAGCGGCCAGTCGGTCAAACGCGGCGTTAAGCCTTTGCACTTTTGCAGCCCTCCACCCTCACTTGCACTTTTGCAGCTGCCCTCGGCAAACAACGTTACTGTGAAAAAGTTCTCAGAAAACACCGTGAACTCTTGCAATAATATCTTCCGGGTGGTCTATGATGCGTGATCGGAAGCGTCCGTGTGGCTCCGCCGATGGTCTTTGAAGTCAGCAAAAGTGCAACATACGAATGCGATCGCGTCAGCGGCTTCAGACAAAAATATGTGGTGGTCTCAACGACGACGAGAGGGGGTGACGACGATATTGTTGCGAGATGACGATGCACTTTGTTGCGAATCGCCAACAGCGACATTCGGTGTCGTTCGCCCGATGATCGCCCGCTCCTTTTTTCGTCGTGTGTGGTCGGAACAGAGGCGGAGCTTCGACGGGGCGAAAACGCACGCTAGCAGTGTTCCATGTTGCGAGCTCCTCGCCATGCACGACAACGAAGGTAAGACCTGTCCGTCCTGTTACTAGACTGACTGGTAATTCATAAAGTTGATCAAGTATACGCCACCTTGCTTTATGAACAAATCTTTGGCTACTGCCGGAGATCACATATATGAAAGGCCTCTCTACGAGGTCAAGATTGAGGGTATAGCGCTTCTGATGACTTGAGGAAGTCTAGCGGTAATGGAGACTGCGCGATTGAATTGAATTACCTAGCTCCCATTTTTGGTTCAATTGAGAAGCCATTTTCAGCTTGATTAAGACTGTAGTTCCCTGTTGCTGTAGGTTCTTCCATATTTTATCTGTGAATGTATGAAAGACCTGCATAAATCAGAATATCGATTTGGCAAATGTTGCTGATTCCTTTTCAGAAACGAAACAGACCCCTGAACTGGTAATATTGGCTTCGAACTGGGAAGGAACAATGGGATCACAGAGAAGTGGAAATAACAGCTGATTGCAACATGCCGTCCGGGTGTATGTGTGCGTCTAGCTAGCTGTGTGTATGTGTTGCAACAACGCGGCGGCGCGCAAGACCTCCCACGACGAAAACTCGCCGCCACCACGTCGGGTCCAGCAACCCCGCTAGCTATTCCCCTTTTCGGAGCCAACCACGTTTTTCTCACTTCGATTGCTCATTTAAATATTACTAAGGGCTGTACGTAATGAATTTGTATTGAAAAGGTTTTCAAGTTCATTTTCGGTTGGATTTAGTCAAAGTTTTTGTAAACGATCTCTCGGTCCCGTGGTTGATCCAAACTCTCATGAAATACTGTTTTATTTTTGTATCCGTTTTCTCCAGTTCGATCCTCATCCCAGTTATTCCCACACCACCCTATGAGGTCGTTTCGGATAGGGTTCCTCAATTTTTAGGCTAGGCCTTATAGTTGTCAGTTAGTCGAACTGGGCATGGAAGCCGAAACGCAGTCATCCCGTCGAACCCATCAAGTGCTAGGGAACCTGACCTAGGGCTGAAAACCTGTTTCCAAAAGGGCTCCTTCCTTCCATATCGAATTTGAACCGAATTTCTGTGGTAGCTCTATACAGGGCTCCTATATCTGACGTTTCTGCTACTTTGGAGTCAACAACTGCTCACTGTCTTACGTTTTGGGGCATTGCCCTAACACTTGAATCCACCTCTTATCAGCCCCTTTGGCCTTGTCGGAGCTTTAAATGTTACAATTAGGTAATACCGGGAGAAAAGTTTTAGTGGTCCCGACGGAAGACCTTGTTTTTTTTCAATTTTGCCAACGAGAACGCGTAAGGTAATTGGCTCCAGGTAACAAATTTGAGCCAAAAACAAATCTATCCCACTTCCCACTCCTCACCCCTTCTAACCTTGCTCGAAATGTTTTTTTCAAGCTGAACAAGCCATGCCAGACAACGATTCCTTATCATAAAAGGTTTTTTAATGACCCTTAATTATCTGAGAATTTTCATCGAAGTGGTGTTTTTAAGATGTTGAAATTGACGTGGTCGCTTTATCACCGGCACCATCACAAAGCTCTTACAACAGTACTCAGAATGAAAAGAAGTACTTCTGTCAGCGTTGTCTCAATCACGACCTACAATTTCCAAGGAAAGGTCACAAACCTGTGTGCAAGTGGGTTCCAAGGAGGGGACCACCTTGGTAATTTGATACTTAGGAAACATTTGCAGATATGCCAACTGCACCTGTAGCGATTGTATCATGGTCGAGCAACGAAGGCAGCTGAACAACATGCTGAGCAAATCTAAAGTGAGCCCAAAGCTTCTGTGAATTCCAAGCAACCGGTCCCTTTAATATCCGATGATTGCAGATGGCCGAGTCGCCCAGGGAGACGGTGAACGGGCGTCGAGTCCGTGACCCCCAGTGCGCTCGATGTCGTCAGCATGGAATTCGAGTTCCGCTCAGAGGGCACAAAAGGGTCTTGTGTCAGTTTGCAAACTGCAAATGCGAAATGGTAAGTTGTCTGTGCAGGACCGTCTTTGTAACAGTTGTCCAAAAGGCTTCATTGATTCCATATTGTTATATTTCGCATAATTTCCTTTTTCTGAAATCCATCATTATCCTTATTCTCTCTACGCCTGTCCAAACATTGCCTTCCTTCTTCTTGTAGAATCCGATCAATACTGTTCCCAGTCGGTTTTTCTTTTACCCCTTTGTCGTTTTAACCCCTCGTAGAACAGCGGACTACGACGAGGCTACGGTATCGTCGGAGCGGCGTTTTCCGCGCCAATAAAACGTGGCGCCAAGGTTGCCGGGCAAGCGTTACGGAATACGGTAGCTATCGCTTCGGTTCTGATCACTTTTATCGACAACTTTTTGCTCAACTCACTGGGAATCTTTCTTTTACGGGAGGTTTTCGAAGCTCAGTTCTGAATGAAAGTGCTGGAACCTTTTTGTTGCTCATAGTGAAATTGCTCTCTATTTTGAAGCTGCCCGTACTTCGACTACGACTGACGGCTTCTCATTTCAGTTCAGCACTGCCGCCTGTGACTAGGTCGTGTACTAATTTGAGATGAAATTCGTAGGATTTTAATGAGGCCTTTGCACAGAACCCCTGAATCCAAACTTTTTGTCGATTTGTGATACAGTAGTCGACATAACTAGGTTAAATTTCCCACATTTCATGGAAAATATGCAAAAATTTCTCGAAGTTTCAAGAATCATTTCGTGAAAATCTTGCAACCTACGCTATAACCACTGATATCATCAATGACAGGAATGAAAGGGTTTTGTTCTCGAAAATATTTCAAAGCAAAGCCACATACTGTGCTCTGAATCAAAGGATGAGAATATAGAGAAGGCACAGCCAATAGGTAGCTCCATAGTAGGAATCGGCACACTCTCGTAAATTCTAGTCCCCTACATGAGCATCACCACTTCAGAAGAAATTAACCTGGACCTTTACGGTTCATTCCGAGATGAAGGGATATCACGGTTTTTCACAATTTCTTTGAATTTGCTAAAACCAGCGAATCCTTGCTCCACGATCAGGCCTGCTCTGATACCTACTCACCCAGCTGGCTGTATTTGTCAATGAACTCCGCTTCAACACCTACTCCATCTAAAAAAAAAAGAATTTCTTCGATGATCCCCTCTCAGATCGTCCAAGGTGCAGGTCTCTGAAATCGAAGTCTGTATTAAGCCTGCGCCGCACCCGTTCTTCAACGAGCTCAAAAATCGCTCTTCTATAATTAGAAGTTTTGAATTTTTAAGGTTCTAAAACTGACTATCCGGGAGATCCATTCCACCAACGTCTTCTTCCCTCATAGCTGTTTCGAGATTCATCTCATCCTCAGAAAAACATGAAAGTTTCACTCTCTTCGTTTTGAGAGGGACTATGCTGCTTATTCGAGGCCTAATCTCCTGTTCTTCTGCACTGAGCATATCCTTTTTTTCTCCTATCCAATCCGTCCTTCTTACATCGAACCACTGAAAAAGCACTTTTTTAAAGTCTACTTGTTCTACTGAGTTGAAGTTGTGACCCATTTCTTCCTCATCTCATTGAAGGTCGTTCTGTATCGCAGTCTTTTAATTGATAGTTAGTCGTCGACAGACGACTTTGCGTTAATGAGCATTTCCATAGGTTCGCTTGATAAGTAATATTTTAAGACAATAAAGAAATCGGCTGAGATTGATTTGCGACAAATGGAGGTCTGAAAGCTCATAAATCCTCTGTAAATGAGCTCGTTCGATTCTGTGAAGATGACTGAAGGTCGTTGTCGGTGATGGCATTTCACCGAGCGGGAATAGTTCTCTCCTATTTCACTCCCTACTCACCTGGGATGTAGAACAAGTTTGAGTGAATCTCTAAAAAAAACCCCCACTAGCCACTCTTGAATAGAGCCGGCAAAGCTTGTTGAAGCTCGTTATCAAGAATGTTTTTAGTAAATCCCATAAAGATAAGAGAGGCTTATGAGTAACATTGAGAGAACAGCTGTTCTCCCATCACCAAAGCAATTTCTCCCTCCCGTATCGTCAGGCTCTTCCCTGTAATATCAAAAAGACTATTGAAGGGCTGAATTGGTTTCTAGCTGCTAGATTTATTGGGGGATAAAACACACTGCTGGCCGAGTTGTTCAGTTCAGGGGGAAGACGTGACAGGCTGTAACAACGTGATTCAGTGTGGTTCTTTGCAGTGCGAACTCGTTGAAGACCGACGTTCACTGATGGCGAAGCAGATAAAACTACGACGCGATCAGCAACGACAACGGAATAATATGGACGATAGGCACAGCTCAGATAGTACCGGCGAGCATGACCTGACCGGTGGGTACTAACATAGTCAGTTAAGATAGGTCGAATCTAGCAGGTGGTGATACCAGATAGAGTTGGGGACAATGACGGAATGATAGCATTCCTTAACGGGGAAAAGTTCTCAGACTAGAGAAGATTTGTGGGATGGGAATGCCGATCTGACCTTTTCTAACTTTGTGATCCCAGAATAGCAGTCAAGTATAAGTCGGTAACTAGTTCTCTCCCGGTTGAGAAATTGCTTTCAAATCCTTTTCATTCTGGAAATTATTCGACAATATTCTAATAGACCCCAGAGCAGCTACCGTAGCTCGGGTAGATGGAATGATCACACTCATTTTTCTCAATAATTACTTGCTGTAATTTTTGAAAATATGTCGATTTTGATGAACATTGGGCACCATTCTTATACTCGACCTTCAGGCAATTCAGAAATCAGGAAAGTCTTGCATCACCGATCTCGGGGAACGAGGTCTAGAGGGAAGCCCCTGTTCATTTTCATAGAAATAGAACAGGGCTATAAATATGCTCAGTAATACATACTATTGGGCTGATACATGGCTTCTTTACTGCATCTGAAAATTGCCTTCACGAATATTTTTAGATAATTTGCTGAGGTATAGAAGATTCTTGAAATTCTAAACGTTGAGGCTTAGAATAGTTGTTCTAGAGTTAACATCGCTCCACTAACTATCTTAACGAACTAATTAAATAACTACATCAACATTGGGGAAAAAAGACCTCCCACCTGATTTAATGTGAGTTCTCGGAACGAAGCCGAAAGTAAAGCTGAATATATGAGCAACGTCGGTTTAGGAAAAGGATGCTGAACTCTTTTTCCAAGGAAGACACAGTTCTAGCAAATGTGACAATCCAAAGCAGAATAGGTTTCAACTAGGAATTTGTTGTCACTAAGAGCCCGAATTGTCGAAGGAAGTGCTGATATCTTACCTTCGAACGCTCTTCCGCTCTGATGCGGTACCGAGCAACCTTAGATGAGTTCTGTATGATGCCTTGAACTGGCCACCGTGTTAATAACGCGGATTGAATGGATGTAGGAGTGTGTACTGTTAGATAACCGAGCAGTGTCAAGATCGGGGTGTAAGCTCATCGACACAAGAAGAACTATAGAATTTTTATTTCACGACGTATCGTTCTCATAGGGGAACTCTATATGAGATATTTTACCCTAAACATGGGTTGTCTATTAACAACGGCTGGTGGTTCCGGACGCGCGTAAAATCAACGCCACTCTATTTTGTTGAGAGAAACCTTTAGTTTTGGGATCACTCAGATGCATAGCCTACTAAAAAAAGACGGACCGAAATAGATGTTTTATGATGTGGATACAAAAAAACTTACCACTGGTTTCTGTTCTCCCTGATCCGAGTAATGTAGTGAAAAAAGACAGTGTAGTCAGGGCAAATACAGTTCGGCTTGATCGAATTTGAACTTCCATAAAAATATATCACTGAAAACTTATGGTGACTATACAGCGACAAATACTCGAAAGCAATACTATTTTTTCCACTCAGAATTTTGCTAGATAATTTTGAAGTGCTAAGAGTTGTTCAAGTTGTTCATCACTACCCTGCTTTCTCAATTTTTTTGTACTCTGGGAAAGTCTCTTTTTTGAAAATATATCAATACCTACAATGCGAGAAGAATAGTTTCGAAAAGGTTCCCACATGTTCAGAGATCTATGTAGATTGTGGTTCCCGTGGGCATGATTTCACGCGAAGAAATTTACATACCATTTTTTAGATGTCGCTAAAAATAGTTTTACAATTTTTCCTTGGAACATTTTAGAATACAATGTTACTATCGCATTTTGTTTTTGAAAAGAGCAAGAACCTTTGAGGCAAAATTTCAGCGGAANAGGGTTCCAACAACGTGATGAAAATTAGAGGTCTCCCCTTCAGCTTCCTTACGTAGACCCTCATACTCATCCAATGCAGTACCTTTTTCTCTCCTGTAGAAAAGTAGTGAAGAGGCTGCCTTGAATAAATTTGGGCATAATGCAATTAATTCTAAAATTCGCTACAGAATGGGGAATTCCTTTCGGGAAACGGTATATGGTGCCAACTTGATAGGCTCTAATCAAATTCGTATGCAATAAATGCATCATTCTATCGTTGCCCTCTCGTAACATTCGTGCCGATTCGATGAATTCATTTCAACACGGTGTGCGGCTACAGAAATCGACAGGGCTATAAAAATGTAGTTCTTCTTGAAACATCACCAACGATAGATTCATAAGAACGATTGCAGAGCCTTCGTCATCAGATGTCTCACCGTCACCGCACATCGCTGCAGAACTTCCTCATCCAGTTGCAGTCTATCCTTGTCCTGCTCCACCACCTCTAACACCACCGATTGCCGCTCCGATACCTTTGGTTCTACCGCCACCGGCAGCCGTGCATCTCATTCCTCCAATGCCCAATCCATTTATGTTACCGCTACCGTTCTTGAACATCTTCCATCAGCTCGCACAACAACAGCACTAGTCATATACACTTCTTAGGTGCAGTTCACTTCGAGGAATCACGGTTGGGAGGTGCATTATAACCGCAATAGCACTTCTTTCTGTTGATTATGGTTACCCTCCTTGAAGTGAACCGCATTACCTATACAATTACAACCGCAATTAACCATGTCATTGCTAGTTAGCATCAAAGCTCTCTGTTAGTGTCATATACTTCACGTGGTATTGCTTTGAAAAAGGGGTGTGGTGAGTTTTTGTAATGACGGTATCTAACGTACAGGTTTCCTTCGCTCTTTTCCCCTTTACGATGTACCTACAAATGTCAGGCTCCATGTCTTTGGGTCACACTACAGTACCATCCAGCTGCATGAACGACTAGCCAAATCCCAGGGGTTAAGGAATACTGTGGAGAGGTGTGAAAGCTCTGAGCGGCTAATAGGAGCTATAGGGATTTTCAACTTGATGGAGTAACTAGTAGGGCCGGTCAACCCTAATTCACCCAGGTTATGGGTACAGGCATATTTGTGATACTCCATACTCGTAGCAGTTCTGAAACTGTGATTTGAATGGTAGATTATCACCTTCGTTGGTGGTGGTCGACCAGCTTTGCTATGGGCCCCTTCAGGGAAATATCAAGCTCATTTTGCAGCATTGAGATTAGAACCGCAGCTGGATGGCCTCTGGGTGTGATCCCAAGTCTCTTGCTTCAGATTGATCTACTTAGTCAAATCTATCTGAATCTATCAACTATTGCTGGTACCCAATTGCCTCTACTATTAGGATTAGGCCAATTTTGACGGTTATAGTGGTGGTGGTGCACTCAGGTATATTATCCCAAAAGCTTCTCAAAAATTTCCATCCTATGGACTGGTACAATAACAATTTTTCTCTTGGACCCTTTTTTTTGTTTGTTCATTTTCTTCTTCTAGGCATCTCTCCGGGTGGGATGCAATCCCATGTCATACGGCATACGACGATTACGATCGTCGCTAAATTGTTAACAATTCTCGTTTGGTTTCGTTCGTTTTTCCCTTTACTTCTTGATGCATTCATTTATTGTTCTTGTTCGTCCCCCTTTTCAATGTACGTATATGAAAACGATCGATCATCGATCGCTTTCAGTGGCTTTTCCCATCAGATCGCAATCATGCGCACGCGTAAGTCGTCCCCGTATTTGTTTTTTCCGTTTCGTACACGCGCCCATGACCGGTGTTGTTACTGTAGCAATGTATTGATGTAATAATAAAAACGTGTTGTCTTTGGGATTATTCATTGGTAACGAATGTTCCATAACAAGCAATCATTCAACGGTACAGCAGCATAATTCAACAACATAACTCTGGATTTTCAAGTCGATCTATCGTAACAAAAACAACGTACAACGGACTCCAGGACACCATCTTTGCGAGGCGATGCCAGAAATTTATAGCCGTTCACTGGAACGGGACGCCAAATTACGCAGATTCCCATAGACTTTTGATGGCGGCGCCCCTGTAAGATATCGACGTTCGTTGCCATGAAGCACCACTAACAAATCTTCTTCAAATAAAGACAAAAAAGCAAAGAACGCACCTAAGATAAGACTGGATATTGCGTTTCGGGCAAGTTTTAGATTCTGAAATGCTCCCAGCAAATGGATCCTCGTGTCCGCCAACACTAAAGCAGAAAAACAACATCCGTTAGTGAAGTATCTCTGTCAGAACATGAACTCTCCATTCTTATGGATGGTAGCTTGGCAGAAACCAAGCAGTATGTATCGAGGAAAGCCTAGCTTGAGCCTAATTTTCCCAACTTCATCGCGGTAACTCCCTACGATCACCTAAAAATTTTCCTATTCCTCATCTCTGGAATCCCAAGAGACAATAGTTGGGAAGTACTAGAAACGTTTATTCAACAAAACCTGCCATGCCCAGAGTACAGACGACAAGTTTACCGGGAATCCCAAAGGAAAAGTCGCCAAAAGGGAAGATAGTAAGAACCCGCATTTTCTGAGGCTACGCAACCTCAAAACTCCAGCATGTTCTAATGCTGCTCTGCCTTCCTACTCTTTGCTCTTTTAAGCTGGTCTTAGGATGCTAGGATCAGAATCAGTGCGAGCTCTACGAGAAGACCATGAGGCTGTGATCAGCCAGTTACAGTACATCAAGAAAGATGGCCTTCAAAACCTTGCATAGTGAATTCCAACGAACCTATCCTAGTTTTTGTAACGTTTTCTATAACAAGTTTCGTCCTCCCATCTTTTCCTGCTATTCGGCCAATGGCCCGGCTGAGATTATCGCCTTTCAACGATGACTTCACATCAGCCACCTATAAATCATCTTAGTTTAAGCCAGAACAGCACGAGTCAAACACCTGCAAACGCTCATTTTCTCACCTCGAATGTCTCAAGGAACAGATGATCAAGCCGGATTAACGCGAGGGCATCGGCAACATCGAATCCGAGCACGAACGCACGTACAAAGTCAGCTGCCTGAAAAAGAATTCATATCACTTTTAGAAGGAAGAAAAGCGAACAAGAAGGAATGATTTTCAAATGCTATATATTTGTTATCCATTTCAGAGTGGAGGTGGTGTAGTGACAAGTGGCGCACTATCACACACTTATGGTCACGGGAACGGATCCCAGATCGATATCTGCCTAGGCAACCAAGCCTTCTATCCCTCTGTCGTCGGTGACATGCTACCAGTCTCTTCTGGGAGGATAAAAGCACTGGCTTATACATCGGTTGGCCACCCAAGTCATTGTATAGGCCACATACACAATCAATATGCCTCTACGATTCTGAATGGAAGTCAAATGTGGGTGTGCATCCCTCAGAAGGGATTGATCAACGCCCGAAGACTTTATCCTCCATCATTTGAAGGTATGAACAGGATGGGATCACTCTAGAACTGAAAAAGGGTAACTACTCTGTAAGGCACTACCTTCTGCAGATCCGTAGTATCTTCTTTATTCTCAGGATTCCTTATCTCAACGTTCCTTGTTTTCATATTGAACCTGCAAGATATATAGAGTTTAGTTGTCATTTAAAAAAAATTTTACAACAAACCTAATTTGTAATCCTAAGTTCTTCACAATCGGAGTGAAAATGTTGACCCAGTTATCTTTCAGCGGAGTGTAACGATGCTTCGGCACAGGAATCTTGAAAAAAATTACATTAGCAGTGAGTAATTACCATCGTATCTGATCAAGGTCATGTTAAGAAACTCCACTTTGCGCATTTCACCCTTCTCTCCTTTGGACCTTTTGGTACGTCGTGGGGATGCTTCTTCACTATTCCCATTCACTTCCGTCTCCATAGTGCTACCACATTCTTCCATCTCAACATCTTTCGTTGTGCTCCTTCTTTTGCGCTTTGACACCTTAACGGGAGAAATAGGACAAAGAAGAGATACATTTCAACCTTGAAATGAAAAAATATTAAAAATACCCATCCACTTCCCCTTCACAGCTCAGGATTGGGATTTTGACTCCCAGAATTCAAGTGGCTTACACGACGGGAACTAAACGTGCTTCGCACACTCTTCAGACACTTATACAGCAAAGACGAAAGGATGAGAACGAATTGATAATCACTCGATGAAACATAAAATTCTTTGTTCTATGTCTTAGAAACCGAGGGTAAGGAGGCAACCGAATTAGAAACCCATTGTGGATCTTTACTCTTATTACTGGTTTAATTTTTCGAAACTCTCCACTACAATTCCAGGGCTGGATTGTCCCTGTCTTTCCTTTTTTCTGTTGCTCTTCACAATGGCAAAAGTGCTTGTCGCCACTTGAATCGTGTTGGTGAACCATCCCACGTTGTATTGTAAGCATTGCAATTGAAGCGATCGGGAAAGTGGTGTTGCAGTCTCCCCATTCACAAGGATTCTTTTATTCAGTGCCCAAATGCTGCGAGATTATTTCTTCTGGTCTGCTGCTCAAATAGGAAATATGTTCCAGAGAAATGGCATCAAAAGCTTCGTCATCAGAACTGCGCCTCATTCCTAGTTTTCCACGGGTTTCCCGTTCTCAAGAGCAAAATCCGAGCGAATAACAGCCATCATTGGAACAATCGTAGCTATGTCCAATGGATCGTAACATCTTACACAAACAACATTACTCAAATAGGTAGTTAGGATCATACGCAAATGTTTGTACGTACGAGATCAGGGTAGGCCACTGACAGGGAATTCTAAAGCCATCAAAACGTATCCACAGAGGAGTATGGATTTTTCTACAGGTCATGCAAGAACATGGACATCAAAATGCAAAAACGGCGGTATGAACACACTATAATGTTTTTTCTAAAGCGCTGGATTTGCAAATATGTGACATTAAAATGGACCCAAAGCAAAAAACTTTAGCAATCAAACCAGGGCCATGGCTGGTAGTACCAGCCCACGATGTAGCGTAAAGGCTAGCATAACCTTCCCTTGTGTAACCTCCGAATCTCCTTTTTTCGATGACATTCGGAAAGGAATGATAAAGCAAATGGTGAAGAACTAATGTAATGCCACCTCCATGGTATCCGTCGACCTACTCGGCCTACCGTAGGGATGAAACCCTCGGTGATCCTATTAGAAGTATCATGAGACTGAACATGCAGCGAAATCACCTGGGTAGCACCCCTCGCCCTCGATCTGGCTTTAACCTTCTTGTTAACCGTTTCTGAGTGGCATTCACGATTGGCTGGTTGCAAGTGAGCAATAGAATTGCACACTCACTCAACCAACACATACGTACAACAACCCATTGTGAAAAACTCGGCGCTAGCTCAACACTGTGATGACACTGTTTGAAAACTGCGTCTCTCAACATTCAACGTTCTTCTAGCACCAGTTGAGGCAATCTCAGACGGCGAAAAAACACTGACAGCCCGGCCATTCGTTCATTGTTGGCCGCTGAATCGCGTGCCCATAAATCGAGCCCGAACGGCGCTGTTTGAACATTTTCCGGACCCGACCGTCGTTCGCCCTTGCACCCTGGGGAAGAGTTTGCTCCAAGGTCAGACCACACACATACACATACGCAAATTATAAAAAGCTATTGTATGATGCAACCGCAGCTGCGAAATCGTGACCCTTCAAGTTTCTGCAAAGGATTTTTCGAATAGAATAAAAATACTTTTTTTTTTGATCTGACTAGTGAATGGACCTTGTTTTCTTGTAAGACACCTGTCGTTTCCTCTTTCTTACTTTTCACTTCAGAATATAGCCAATTTTCCTATTCTCTCTGGTGATGAACTGCCTCAGCCATGATCAAGCTGATATGTCGAGTTCCCGATGTCCATATTACTGAGCAGCATACAGTTTAGGGGAGGTCCTTTGGCAATTTTATGTGACACATCCATTTTCCGTACCAGTAACCATTTAACGCACCTCACACTATTAAAAACTTAGAACGCCATAAAATGTTAATGGATTCTCTGCAACATCACGTCGCAAACTGCACTTCAGAGATACATAATGCGGTTGGAAAGGGAGTTTCTTAAAAATTGCTAGTAATGCGGTAATTTCATGATGTGGTGTAACCTGTAAGTATGAGGATAACAAACGGCTGTTACCCATACAACGTAATTTTCAAATTTTTCAAAAATAAATTCTTTTCAAGGTGACCTGAATGAGCTCAACAAACATTTGTTACAGTTACCAAGCACTATCACCCAGAATCAAAGAAAATCAAAAAGAATGGGACAGCGCAATGGCACATGGAAACATGGGAAACGAGTTTTTGTTTTTGATATAGAATTTTTCGACTTGCAAAGAGGCCCCCGTCATGCGCTGCCATTAATCTGTAGAAAGTAACCGCTCACAACCATTAATGATATATTGGGTGGTTCAGAAAATAATGGAGCATTTCAGCTGGGATTAGAAAAGAAATGCAGTGGTTCTGCTACGAGGTTTGTCAAGATAGTTACGAGCGAAGTCCACATCTAGCATGCGAATGGAATATTTGTTACCTTTTCTGCAGTAGTAGACGACCAATTTCCCGAATTTACATTGAATTCATGTGACGCAACACATGGGTTCACTAACATCAGTCTTGCACCAGGTGAAAACACCTTCACTAGGCCTATTTACTTTATACTTCAAGCGTTTCGCACGTGAGAAGGAGTGCAAAATCGAAGACAGGCAAAGACGGGCGAAAGAACTGAAGAACCGGAAAGCCTCATTGAGTCACGGTGTACGGACTGCAGACAGCCCCAGATGACATCTCCTTGAGCCAACTTTGGCCCCAAATAGTAATCTCTCAAGTGCAAAAGAGTGTAGGGTCAACATGTTCTACGGTCGCGGCCGAATCCGTCATACATCGCTTAATCGACAGGGGGAAATTAAGATTGGCTACGGTACCTTACACATTCCTTTCTCTGACTTCGTCATGTCCGGTATTCATCGGTTTCAGTCACTTAAGAAGATTCTGCAATGAGAGGGCTTCTAAAACCTGGACGAGGACATATCACATGACTTTCCTCTTGGCGAAATCTAAGCCTTGCCTAGAGTGAGGATAAATACGGCCAAATCTGTGATGATTCCGCCGTGAACTGATACTTTTCATAGAAGCCAAAGGTTTCGGAACAGTAAATGAACCCTTACTATTCCCAGGGCCACCCAGTAGTATATCACCCGAATCACCGTATCTGTTCCTTTGAATAAGCAAGGACTACATTACCTGCGTTCTCCGCGCTCATTGGCGTTTCTCACGCAAGCGTTCGATGTTTTTCTGATGCACATCAAAATCGGAAACATCAAAGAGTTCCGAGTGCAAAAAACACACGATTAATGCAACAGCGGGTCGGACGTCGCTGCGTCATTGCCCATTGGAAAAACAGTCGTGATGGAAACCTGCGAGACCACCCAAAGCGATAACGAAACCAGTGCGTATAACTCAGCGAATTATGTTGGACCGTAAAGGAGAACTGTAGTATTGAGCATGTTGGGCATACTGGTCTGTTATGATCCTCGAAATGTCATAACCTTTCCAAAAAAAAAAAA